ATTCATTATTCCTGGGAACATGATATCACATGGGACATTTTCCCATGTTGGATCATTATAAACAATCTCTTGAAAGCACAGAGTGAATCTATACAATGCACGCTCATGTTGTACGAATACTCAAATGCCCATATTTAGATAGGATTTGAAAAACAAATGCTTCTGGGGTTTTTTCTTCAAATGCTTCTGTTCTAAGGTAAGCAAATATATATTTGTTGTTTAGGATTAAAAATCAAGATTTATTTTGGACCTGATGAGGTTGGATTAATCACCCTAACTATTACCCTGAGAAAACTTTTCAACCTTCAACCAAAATATATCCTCTAGTATCATCTAAGTTAAAGTCTGTCTGCCTTGACCATTGTATTCTTTTGAGATCAAAATGGAATCAAATTGAGAACAGCAACTTGGAACGGTTCGGTAGGAACTTCAGGGACAGTAGATGTACGCTGATGGGGAAGAGCCAAGGGGAGAAGAGGGTGAGAATGGTCGCCCAATTTGAAGACTGGCATCAGTGTCACTGAACTGTGAATGTAGGGTGGTGAGCTTGATGGAGGTCCTGCTGTGTTTATTCTCCACGACAAAATAAAATGACTTCTTTCAATCTAATGGCAGCTACATGTGACTCAAAGCTGATTCTCAAACAAGTTAGTTGGAAGGGATGGTGATATATGATGGAAAAACCTAATTCTTGATGATTACACAGTGGCCTGTATCCATTCTGCCTCACTGTCTGCAGAATAATATTTAAACGCCCTTAGAGATCCAATCATGTACTTGGTGATTGGTTTCTGGCTGTCTCCTGCGTGTCTACACTCCATACGACACACCCTCCAAACATCAGCCACTTTTAAATCCTTATTGTGTTATACATAGTATTTACCTTTAAAAATAAAAACGGTGTCCTGGCTGTTAACTTCACATGCAGCATCCAACTCTGGTGGGAGCGAGGGCCAAAACGTTGAAATCAAATGAAATTCAGGTTTGTGGTTCCAGTGGATTCGGCGCCAAAAATATCTGTAATGCATTAAAAATGCATTGAAAATGTTTTTCTCCTATAGATTTTTGGGGCAAAATGAACATATTCTCCTCCGGCTTTCCATAAATGGCAATTTATCCCTTTGTTCTTATGTCTATATTAAACTCTTCTCTTCCACATGAGTCTCTATTTCTGAAATCTAGGGCAAAGAGATATTTTAACAAGGCATTATTATTCAGCTTGGTTTAAGTTTTGAAGCTTGTAACAATGCATATATGATGCACTCATTCATGCATTTTTTTAAAAGTGGATAGAATATATATACCTATTAATATTTGCATGTGAAAGATCATCTTTGAAAAGATACAAAGGAAATTGGCAGTAATGTTGCACATATGGGAAGAGATGATGGGCCGTAAATCAGAGATGTGAAATTGATTTGCCTTTCAACAGTGCATCTTTTGCTATTTAAATATTTTTTTTCATATTTTGAATACATTTGGCCTGAAATTTAAATTAAATAGCTTCATTTGTTAGCAAAGGTAAAGAGATCACTCTGATTCTTAAATCCAT